ACTTTAATTGCATTTAACAAGAGAAAAGGTTAAGACACGATCGCATAAGAAATTTTTCGCGAGGACGAAAGCCCGCGCCTTCTTTCCTCGCGTTGGAATCGAAGTAATCTTCTTCCCCACTGACGAAGACCCGAGGCACGTCACTCGACGAACGGGTGAAACGCGACGAGCGAAACGAAACGAGAAACCTTTCTCTGCACTCACTCACTCCTCGAAAACAGACGCGCTATCTTCCTCGCGGCTGCACTTTGCGCCCCTTTCCTTTCTACGAATCGAACGCAGTCATGATGTTTTCCTTCGAACTGGCATGCAAAGCTGCGGACTTCGTTGAGAAAATAGGTTTTGACAATCATCCGCAAACAGATGTCAGTGCTACCAACGTCACTTCATCTGTAAAAAGTCGACATTTCACGCAGTTACGTCACGCGATTCATCAGTAAACATCCTAACCACAACTCGTTCATTTCTCTTATATTAACTCATCCATGAAGGTGACTAGAATTCATGCACGAATAATTCCGTTGTAAAAAGTCGTAAATAATCTTGGAAACTTCGTATTATGGTTACACTGATAGTATCATGTCCGCTTCCGGTTTTTAAGATGCACTGCGAATTCTCTTTCTCTCGCCCTTGACACTTCAATACCAATTTTCGAACATTTGATTAGTTTTAACATTCAAAAATGCGTACACTGAACAAAGTACAAATGTTGTATAAGTAATCTTTGAGTAGCATTATTGAAGTATACAAAATGTTCACAATAAACCACTCGTTCACGCAACATACGCGGGAAGCTATTTTTTATTTATAAATATCTTGGGCCAAGCGCCAAATGGGGCTTAGCCTAGACATCTATCCTTGACATTTGATTAAGTAAGACCTTTACCATATGTGAAATACATCTAATACGGAAGAAAACATTTTTCATTATTTTTACAGTTTACATACCCTGTTTGCAAAAGTTGTTTTTCCAGATATCGTCTGCTAAGCGACCAATGACGTCACGGTGCACCAGCTGAAAGTTACTGATGTAGCGGTATCTTGCGAGACGTTGTAATTTTTTCCCAGTGTATTTACCCCCAAAATTTTTTTACAACGAAGAACATCATGAACATTACAATACTATACGGTAGTGAAACAGGCACTGCTCAAGATGTAGCTGAACAAATTTGGAAAAGTGCCAAAAGGTTTTGTTATTATCCTTCCTCTATTGTATTAGGTTCGTCAAAAAGTTCTGCGCTTTTTTCGAACTTATGTTTTTCCTGGTAGACTCCCTAGATATAAGGAATACTAAAAAATTGCTAAACCTTATTTTGCAATGTGATTGAAAATATTGATTTATTAAACTAATTTTACAATGGCTGCTTTTCATTTTCATTTCAGAAAAGGGATGAAAAGTACTGTCTTTGCAATGAATGACTATGATATTCAAAATCTTAATTCAGAAAACATAATAGTGTTTGTGGTTGCTACAACAGGCCAAGGAGATCCTCCTAATAATATGAGACAATTTTGGAGACTATTGTTACGAAAGAATCTTCCAACAACATTACTTATTGATTTAAAGTATGGAATATTAGGCTTAGGTGATAGCTCCTATCAAAAATTTAATTTTGCAGCAAAAAAGTTGAATAAAAGATTGATGCAATTAGGTGCAAAAGAGCTGTTATCAATTGGATTAGCAGATGATCAACATGATTTAGGAATAGATGCTGTTGTTGATCCTTGGCTAGAACAACTGTGGATGAAAGTTGCAAGTGCATATAATATTTCTACAACAGATTTGATTAGCAATCAAAGTAAAATCATTGAAAGATTTGATATTTCTGAGACAAACAGAAATTCTATGAATAAGGAATACTACTCAGATTATGAGATTTATATGCAAGAAGTATTTATAAATAATGAAGTGAAAGTAGGCACAATAACTGAGAATACAAGAACTACTATGAAAGATCATTTTCAAGATGTCAGATTAATTAAATTTAAATCAGATAATATTAATTATCAACCTGGAGATATAGTATACGTTAGACCTAAGAATTCTAAAAAACAAGTTGAAAGATTTTTTGATATATTAAATGATAACAATGTACAATTACATCCAGATATGTTAATTCAAGTATCTGAAAAGGAAATTAGAGTACCTAATGTTCTAAAGCAGACTTTAACTTTACATCAAATTGTAGAACAATATTGGGATTTAAACTTTAAACCACGGAGATCTACAATGCAAGTATTATCTTTTATAAGTGAAAATGAATTGGAAAAGGAAAAGTTACATGAATTTACAACAGCAAGTGGCCAAGAAGAGCTATATAATTACATTAATAGGCCAAGAAGAAATATTTTAGAGCTATTAGCAGACTTTCCTCATACTACTAGTCAATTAAATGTAAGACTATTGTTTGAAATTATGTCTTCAATAAAGCCCCGTGCTTTTAGTATAGCTTCAAGTTTAAGGGTCCATGGAAATGAAATTCATCTCCTAGTGGCTGTAGTAAAATATAAAACAAAACTATTAGAACCAAGGTATGGATTGTGTTCTAACTGGTTAGCAGATTTAACAGAAGGAAACAAAATAATATTTTGGATACAAAAAGGAACATTTAAATTTGAATATAATAAGCCAATGATATTCATTGGTCCTGGTACAGGGGTTGCTCCATTTCGTTCAGTTTTATTTGATAAGTCTTCATTGGATGATAATTTAAGGGACTGTGTTCTCTTTTTTGGTTGTAGAAACAAAGAAAAAGATTACCATTGTAAAGAGGACTTTGAATATTTAACACAGAAAAAACATTTAAACTTATTTTGTGCATTTTCCAGAGATCAAGAATGCAAAGTGTAAGCTAATATATATTATTCAATTGTTAAAACCTTTACATTTATATCTTGTGTAACTTATTGTTTTATATATATTTTAGATATGTACAACATCTCATAAATAACCAAAAACAGCTATGTTGGGAATTTCTTAATAAAAATGGTATCATTTATCTAGCAGGTAATTCCAAAAATATGCCAAATTGTGTTCGTGAAGAATTTGTTAATTTAACCAAAGAAATAACTGAATCAAGTAAAGAAGAAGCAGAAAGTTTTATTAAACAATTAGAAAATGAAAACCGATATCAA